GTAAAATTTAGATAAAGAAGTGGTCATTCCAACTTGACTCACCCTTTATGTTGGCAATGCAATGGGAAATTTTCAAGAAGGATGTTGCCATTCCAACTTGACTCACCCCTGTATGTTGACCATGCAGGGGTGAAATTTAGAGAAGGATGTTGCCATTCCAACTTTACTCACCCCTTTGTGTGGGCAATGCAGGGGTAAAATTTAGAGAAGGAAGTGGCCCTGCCAACTTGACTCACCCTTTTGTGGGCCATGCAGTGGTAAAATTTAGAAGGGTGTTGCCCTTCCAACTTGACGCACCCTTTGGTGGGCAATGCAGGGGCCAAATTTAAAGAAGGAAGTGGCCCTTCCAAGTTGACGCGCCCCTTGGTGAGCCACCCGAGGAGAACATTTAGAGAAGGATGTTGCCACTTCAACTTGACTCACCCCTTTGTGTGGGCAATGCAGGGGCTAAATCTAGCGAAGGAAGTGGTCATTCCAACTTGACTCACCCTTTTGTGGGCAATGCAGGGGGAAAATTTAGAGAAGGATGTTGCCATTCCAACTTGACTGACCCCTTTCTGTAGGCAATGCAGGGGTAAAATTTAGATAAAGAAGTGGTCATTCCAACTTGACTCACCCTTTTGTGGGCAATGCAAGGGTAAATTTTAGAGAAGGATGTTGCCATTCCAAGTTGACTCACCCAACTGGACTCACCCGTTTATGTGGGCAATGCACGGGTAAAATTTAGAGAAGGAAGTGGTCTTATGATGATCAAGACCCATCAAAGACTGGAAATCATTAAAAAGATAAAAAACAAAATAAAAAACAAAATAAATACAAAAACAGAAAACCCGGTCAAAGACCGTCCTTCCCTCCATTTCGAGCTGTGTTGTTTTTGTTTATTGTTTGTTTATTTTTTGTTTCTTTTTTGTTTCTTTTTTGTTTATTTTTTGTTTCTTTTTTGTTTCTTTTCTGTTTCTTTTTTGTTTATTTTTTGTTTATTTTTTGTTTTTTTCCTAGGGTTTTTACAGAAAACCTGATTTCAAGGCCAGCTTTTGCTAGAACAGAAAAAAAGCAGAACAAATAGACGTGTTCTGGGTGCTTGTGTTAATTTTGTTTTATGTTTGTTTGTTTTTTGTTTTTTGTTTGTTGTCTGTTGTGTTTGCACATTTTGTGATTGTTTTTTTTGTGCTGTTTGTTTTTTGTTTATTTTTTGTTTTTATTATCTTTTTCAGGATCATCAGTTATTGATTATTTATTTTTCATAAAAGTGGTCACTCCAACTTGACTTACTCTTTTGTGGGCCATGCAGGGGAAAAATTTGGACAAGGAAGTGGCCCTTCCAACTTCACTCACCCTCTTGTGGGCCATGCAGGGGTAAAATTTAGAGAAGGATGTTGCCCAAGTTGACTCACCCTTTGGTGGGCCATGCAGGGGTAAAATTTAGAGAAACGAGTGGTCATTCCAACTTCACTCACCCTTTTGTGGGCAACGCAAAGGTAAAATTTAGAGAAAGATGTTGCTATTTCAACTTGACCGAGCCCTTTGTGTGTGAAATGCAGGGGTAAATTTAGACAAGGAAGTGGTCATTCCAAGTTGCCTCAGCCTTTTGTGTTAGAGAAGGATGTTGCCATTCCAACTTGACTCACCCTTTTGTGGGCAAGGCAGGGGTAAATTTTAGAGAAGGATGTTGTTCCAACTTGACTCACGCTTTTGTGGGCAGGGCAGGGGGAAAGTTTCGAGAAGGAAGTGGTCAGTCCAAGTTGACTCACCCTTTGGTGAGGCAGTGGAGGGTAAAATTTAGAGGAGGAAGTGGCCATTCCAAGTTGACTCACCCTGTGGTGCGCCACCCAAGGGTAAAATTTAGAGAAGGATGTTGCCATTTCAACTTGAATCACCCTTTTGTGGGCAATGCAGGGAAAAAAATTTAGAGAAGGAAGTGGCCCTCAACTTGACTCACCCTTTTGTGGGCCATGCAAGGGCAACGCAGGGGTAGAATTTAGAGAAGGATGTTGCCTTTTCAACTTGATTGTGTGGGCAATGCAGGGATAAATTTTAGACAAGGAAGTGGTCATTCCAACTTGACGCACCCTTTTGTGGGCCATGCAGGGGTAGAATTTAGAGAAAGATGTAGCCGTTTCAACTTGACTCACCCCTGTGTGGGAAATGCAGGGGAATAAATTTAGAGAAGGAAGTTGCCCTTCCAAGTTGACGCGCCCCTTGGTGAGCCACCCGAGGGAAAAAATTTAGAGAAGGATGTTGCCACTTCAACTTGACTCACCCCTTTGTGTGGGCAATGCAGGGGCTAAATCTAGAGAAGGAAGTGGTCATTCCAACCTGACTCACCCTTTTGTGGGCAATGCAGGGGGAAAATTTAGAGAAGGATGTGGCCATTCCAACTTGACTCACCCCTGTGGGCAATGCAGGGGCAAAATTTTAGACAAGGAAGTGGTCATTCCAACTGGACGCACCCTTTTGTGGGCCATGCAGGGGTAGAATTTAGGGAAAGATGTAGCCGCTTCAACTTGACTCACCCGTGTGTGGGAAATGCGGGGGTAAATTTTAGAGAAGGAAGTTGCTCTTCCAAGTTGACGCGCCCCTTGGTGAGCCACCCGAGGATAAAATTTAGAGAAGGATGTTGCCACTTTAACTTGACTCACCCCTTTGTGTGGGCAATGCAGGGGCTAAATCTAGAGAAGGAAGTGGTCATTCCAACTTGACTCACCCTTTTGTGGGCAATGCAGGGGGAAAATTTAGAGAAGGATGTTGCCATTCCAACTTGACTCACCCCTTTCTGTGGGCAATGCAGGGGCAAAATTTAGATAAAGAAGACGCAGGGGTAAATTTTAGACAAGGAAGAGGTCATTCCAACTTGACGCACCCTTTTGTGGGCCATGCAGGGGTAGAATTTAGAGAAAGATGTAGCCGGTTCAACTTGACTCACCCCTGTGTGGGAAATGCAGGGGTAAATTTTAGAGAAGGATGTTGCCCTTCCAAGTTGACGCGTCCCTTGGTGAGCCACCCGAGGATAAAATTTAGAGAAGGATGTTGCCAGTTCAACTTGACTCACCCCTTTGTGTGGCAATGCAGGTTAAATCTAGAGAAGGAAGTGGTCACTGCACCTTGACTCACCCTTTTGTGGGCAATGCAGGGGGGAAATTTAGAGAAGGATGTTGCCGTTCCAACTTGACTGACCCCTTTCTGTAGGCAATGCAGGGGAAAAATTTAGATAAAGAAGTGGTCATTCCAACTTGACTCACCCTTTTGTGGGCAATGCAAGGATAAATTTTAGAAGGATGTTGCCATTCCAGGTTGACTCACCCAACTGGACTCACCCGTTTATGTGGGCAATGCAGGGGTAAAAATTAGAGAAGGAAGTGGTCACTGCAACTTGACTCACCCTTTTGTGGGCAATGCAGGGGAAAAATTTAGAAGGATGTTGCCGTTCCAACTTGACTGACCCCTTTCTGTAGGCAATGCAGGGGTAAAATTTAGATAAAGAAGTGGTCATTCCAACTTGACTCACCCTTTTGTGGGCAATGCAAGGGTAAATTTTAGAAGGATGTTGCCGTTCCAAGTTGACTCACCGAACTGGACTCACCCGTTTATGTGGGCAATGCAGGGGTAAAATTTAGAGAAGGAAGTGGTCACTCCAACTTGACTTCCTTTTTTTTGTGGGCAATGCAGGGGTAAAATTTAGAGAAGGATGTTGCCTTTCCAACTTGGCCCACCTTCTTATGCGGGCAATGCAGGGGAAAATTTTAGACAAGGAAGTGGCCCTTCCAACTTCACTCACCCTTTTGTGGTCCATGCAGGGGTAAAATTGTTGGATGGAGCCTCACATGTCCTCTCCATCCCCCTGCTTGAACAGTGGAAATTGTGAGGTGGAACCCTTGGAGACAGGGTTGACACACACACGGTGCCGCTTGGCGGCGCTCGCGTGGAAGGCCTGAATAGATACCTAAAAAAGCCTTAGAAACAAAAGAAAGAAACACAGAAAGAGCAGCGCTAAGAGGGCAAGAGAGAAAGATAAGAGTGAAAAAATGAAAAATGAATACTTAGCCCTTGACTGGGGTAGGGAAGCGCGCCTCAAGAACAACCTAAAAAGCCTGAGAGAAAGCCCAAGAAACGACCAAGAACGTAAGAAAGAAAGCGGGGGGCAGGGAGGGGATGTATGTGGCATGTGTGTGTCCGTGTGTGTGTGTGTGTGTATGACTACCTAGCACTCTAGGGTTACTGACTACTTAGCAGAAACGAATTACGTGCAATAGTTAGGGAGCGGGACTTTAGTCTTAGACCGCCCGGGTAGAGAAGACTAGAACAGGAACAACAAAGGGAAAGGCACCGACACACCAGTGTGTCGAGTACCATTTCCCTGTGTTGCCCTAATTAGGTGGAGAGTAGAACTCGGCCGGGGGGGGGAGGGTTGTGGGAAACATGCCTGACCTCAAGTGGAATTCCGGTTTTTTAGCCCGGCGGTTATGTTCACCGTGAAAGCCCAGATTCCGACAATTCAGTCGTGAGACAAGAGCATTTAACGTGATCCACGATGAAAAGACAAAGATTCAGTAACACGATTTCCGGCATGAAAGCGGCGCCTCCTTGCGGAGGATCACACCCAGGACCCAAGTGGGACGGCTGCGCGGTTCACACTCTGACATTGGTTTGCGGTTACCTCAAGTCCCACATAGGTCTGGTGTCAATTGACCAGTGACCGGTGACCGCTGCCGGTGACTAGTTGCAGGTGACCAGGCCGGTGACCGGACCGGGGGACCAGGTCGAACCGAGCCGGAGACCGGGCCGGTGACCGTTGATTGGGCCGGTGACCGGGCCGGGCCGGTGACCAGACCGGTGACCGGGCCGGAGACCGGGCCGGAGCTGGGGCCGGGACCGGGCCGGGCCGGTGACCGGAGACCGGGCCGGTGACCGGTGATTGGGCCGGGCCGGTGACCGGAGACCGGGCCGGAGACCGGACCGGTGACCGGACCGGTGGACCAGTGACCGGACCGGTGACCGGAGACCGGGCCGGAGACCGGACCGGTGACCGGGCCGGTGACCGGTGACCGGGCCGGTGACCGGACCGGTGACCGGAAAACAAAAGAAGTATATTATGCCCCAACCAGGGGGGCCCTGGTATTACTGCATTATGGATCATCCTATAGATCTTCCATCTGTGCAACATGTCTGCCTAACTTGGCGGGGTTTATGGATGAACAGTCAGACATGTTGCACAGTTGGAAGATCTAGGTATGGTGACTCAGAAACTGTCCAGCTGTTGGATTTGAGTGTCCCCCATCCCCCATCCACGAGCTTGGACAGGTTGTTCCACCTTTTCCCTTTTTCGGTCGGGCGTTCTTTCTGAGCGAAGGGATCAAAAAGAAGATGATCTCAATTGCCATATTGGAACAACCATGGACAACCATGTGTTTCTTGTTTGGGTTTCCAGATACTAAGACAATGGTTCCTTGGTACAGACAGCTCCAGACGCTGGACACCGAAGATGACTCCTCAAAGAGAAACAAAGCTTTGCACTTCTTTACCCACTCCAAGAATCCGGGCCCCTTCAGAACACATTTATGGAACAGTGTTCCTTGGTCTATTTCCCTCCTTCTTCCACAGCATTTTCCATCTATTTCCCTTCAGCAACACATAGGGTTTGGGAACCAGGTCCGGATATCTCCGCTTCGGTGGAGAAGCTCCGAGTCCTGCCATGGAAGGCCCGAATCCTGATTCTTAGGGCGCGTTTTGCAGAGGAGATCAGGGGGTCGTCGATAGAGCTGGTCATTCCTTGGGCTTTTTGCCACTGCAGATGTTCGCTGCAGCATGCTGCACGGCTGGCAATCCTCGACTCAGTTCGAAGCCTGACGAGTCCGCACGAGTCCGGCCATCGGGCTTGGGACCCCCGGACAGGACAGAAGTATCAGTCTCGTGCACTGAGGGGTCGCAAGAGCAACCATTCCTCAGACGTTCGACAGTTCGAGCATGGGTGGGCGCAGGCTGCGCAGGGGTGTATTTTGTTGCATTTTAATATACAGTATAAGGAAACCTCCCACCAAAGGGTTAACCTCCCACTCATGGGGTGGGTGGTCTATTTTCCTTCTTCCAGGGAGGTCTAGACCAGGTCTCCTCTTTTCTCAAGACACCGTGGGACCCAAAAGCCTCACCCGGGAGAATTCAGACGTCTCCACCTTCCGAAGAACTGCTCGTCGCGTCTGGGCCCAGCAACAGGAACGAACTCCACCACGAATCGTGCTGGGACATCGCACACACCTGCGTTCGGATCTCCAAGCAATTTCGGATCTCGAAGTCGAAAAAAGTCTCGAAACATGCGGTTCGGGGCAAGGAAGGCCCTATACTCTGGTGGGCGCCAAGCGATGCCAACGAGGGAGGTGTCAACGAGGCGATCCTTCGACTTCCTTGCAAACAGCTGCATCACCAGTGTCAAACGAAACAGCTACAGTATATATATATATATATATATGCTTGCACACAGCATCTCTGTGCCACCAAGGTGACCAAGGAATGTATCATCAGCACAATCATGCCTCCAGCTTGTCTAGCCGCATCATACACGATGACTGTACTTCAGTGGCTTCAGTGGCTTCAGCGCTTCAGTGCGGCTCGCCCTTCTCCACCGAAACGCAGTGCTCCCGACCCAGTTCTCAAACCCCCTATGTGTTGGGGTTGCTTTCAAGGGCCCACAAGTCCATCCGGGCCGTCGACAGCGGAGGTGGCTGACGTCAGCCACCGGCCTCAAGTGTGACCCATCCTTGGCCCGAAGACCGTTCTTTTCGAGCCCATTCCGCGCGGCCCGGCGGAACACTCGCGGCCCCAACAGCGACAACAGTTGGGAGGTCCAGAGGCGCAGGAAACGTCGAAAAGCGAGCTGCATCAGTACAGAAAGTCTCAAAGGAAATGGCTTTGTTGGAATGGACTCGATTCGAAGTTCTGCATCCAAATGCTGCATGCATGCTGCATCCACATGCGCCAACCTCACCAACTTCACCCTGGAACCTCCGCCCCCCTCAAAACACACCGTGGAACCATCCACTGAACCCATGGCTCCACCGCCTCGCCCGTCGCGGCGGCACGTCATGTTCTCCGCTCTCCCCGAGGGCTTCGATCGCGGAGCGTCTCAGCTGGAGCGCGCTGTGTCCGCCGACTTCAAAGGCTCTGTCACAAGGCGAACTCGTTCGTTGGGCTGACCTTCCCTTTGGACTTCGAGTTTGGTGTCGCTATGTGAGAAAAAGAAAGGATGCCTAAGGATGGCAGGATGGCATACAGGATACTGAACAGGATATCCTGGAACGAGGAGGCGCAATTGGTTGGGGAGCCCCTGAGTCGACTTCAGGGGATCACTCTTTTTCTCTTGACTCCATCTGAGGATCGCTTTTGGTCGCCAGTGTCTTTTGGACCACGAGAGGTCCGTGTCGTTGGTGGGTCATAATGTCATGATATGCCGCATGCATATGTCACCAACAAAAACTTGAGGTACACATTCCTGCAGAACACACTTATAAGAAAAAAAAAGAACTCAAAAAGTTTGGGGCGTGCCATCACATGCAACGATGCTCTGAAGTCGATGGACCAGTTGGCTGGAAGAAGCTATGGGCTTGGCTTACGCTGATGTTGAAATATGTTGAAATATATCTTTGCTATACACATACCCCAGGAACTGCTGATAGGGATCTTTCAGGAGAGAAGACTCCCACCTGGATCCTCAAACCACTGATGGTCAGTGGTCCAAGACTGTCAAGACATGACGCAAGAAGTGCTTCTTTAGGGGCGAACAGCAATTGCCACCGTTACCACAGGTTGTTTCGGGGATCCAGGCATTGATTGAAAGCATTCTTGGCGTAGTCCGGCAATTCTGTGCCATACACACGATCCAATGAGGCTGCCCAAATGCTGTTGGAAAATACCAAACAGGTATGGTAAAGGATCTGTCGTGCCCCAGATTGCCAATACATGTCTGGAACAAAAAAAACGGTTCTGTCTGCTTGGGGAGCATGATATGGCGACCCCAGACTTGTTAAGCAGACTAGCTAGTCTTCAGTCTTCAGTCTCTCCTGGGCCTAAGACCCATGCCATATCATGCTGTATGTCTCTCCAGTCTCTCCATTTCAGCCCGGATTGCACCACCAGAGCTCTTCAGACGTCCACGTTCGTGGTGGAGCTCCATGCACCCTGGTCGATGCGCTTCATCATGGCCTGCCACTCGTCCGCGGACGTCCGCGGACGGGGCGTCGTGACGGGGGGGTGGTTTCTTGGGTGATGCTCTTCTGACCAGGCAGCCGAGCCGATCCACGCTGGGTGAGCGATCTGCGCCCGAGTAGCGAATTGGCGTAGGTCACCCTGCACGGCTTTAAAAAACGCTCGGTGGCCCCGAACACCCCGACGACCAACCGGATGAAAATGGCCCTTTACTGGGAAGACGAAGGTTTCTGAATACTAAACAGGGGGGGGCCATCCTGTGCCATCATGCCATCCATGTGACATAGCTCCAGGGATTGTACCTACTCTGGAACTGGAAGAGGGCAAACCACGCTGCGGCAGCGGTGTGTGTTCTGAAAATCTCCCACTGGATATCTTCTATCAACAGGAGTCGAGGATACCGCACAAGATGTCTGGGCCGGCGTGCGAGCCAAACTGAATGGATCAGCCTACTCGACACCATTCACTTGGAGCTTCTTGCCATACTTGAAAAGCTGGTTTCATCTCAACATCTGGAGGCCCACTGGTCGGATCAATCACAAGTCACAAGTTGAGAGGAAACTTAAATTATGGGGCTCTGTCGCTCCCTCTCATTTGGCTCTGTCGCTCCTTCTATTTGGGCCGGCCTTGAGCTGCTTCATCGGTCCCACTTCATAGAATTCCGTGAGCCCATCCTGCTTCCGCGCGGCTGGCTTAGCTTTCGGTGTGCGGACACCGCCGCGTCCGGTGTCCTTCTCCACCTTCCAGCGGACCCCCCCGTTCCGGTCGGTTTGGGGGACAAAGCCGAGCTTTTTTGGACCATGGCCGGACCGGTTTTGAGGGAAAAAAACGGTTTTCGGATGTGTTCGGTGTGTTTCTTTTGTCTCCTTCCGCCTGCTTCACTGGAGAAAAGCACATGGTGTACACAGAGAACGATGTGCCGTATCCCATCACTGCAAAGTGTACATGCCATTTGTTTTCCTTATGCTCTCTTGAAACCCCCCACTGCGGTAAAAGATTCTGGAAGGGTCAGTGAGGCCAGGGACGTCCTGCCCCGTTTTTGCTCGGCTCCTTGATCATGAGCCTCACCGAGGGCTCCCATAGCACCGCGGAGCACAACTGCTGCGCCAGCAGTGGCACGATCTCCGCCGGCGGAGTGCCGGCCTGGCGAGCGGATGGGCCCATCCCTACGAATGAGATACCTACCCTACCCATCCCAAACCACGATTTTCCCAGCCAGCTGTCTGGGTGAAGGCTGGCCCGGCCCAGCCAGTGTCTCCCGGATCTAAAAGACACACCCATTTGCTCTCCATCTAAAAATCCAGACCCAAAAGCAACACATGCATATAGGGGTTTGGGAACCGGGTCCGGACCCATCTGGCGTTTTAGGGGTCCCTAAGGAACTATGGATTCTTCAGGTAGGAACATAGAACCACGATTGATTTCATCGCCTGAGTCCCGAACGACCATTGCTTGACGGTAGCCAAGGAGTTTGACACTACAAACCAGATCCAACTGGCTCATCTTGGATCTGGTTTACCTCCTTTCTTTTCACCCCTTTCTCGCCTGGGTAGACTGGTCAACATGTTCCCGAACCGGAACCCCAGCAGCGGGGAAGATCGGGCGCCAGGCGCCAGGGCTGGGAGACCGCGAGACACGGCCGTGAGCTACACGGAGGGTGCGACTGGGGAATCCCAAGCCTACTCTCAACAAGGTTCAACAAATAGGGTACCTTTTGGTTGACATATGTGGGTGAAATGGAGTGATCCTGAACTGCTGGGAGATGGCGCCTGTGAATCGTGAATCGTCCTTTTTGCATAAATCGGTGTGCATGTCGCGGTGCGTCCCCCCAAAAAAGGGGGATGGCAGCACTCCATGTCCTTCCTTCCTCACTTTCTACCAACCTCTTTTTACCCAAAGACCTGGACTTCCCCTCACCTTGATCTTCTTGCCAGTGAAGTTCATGTACACATCACCTCAGCCGAACACGTTCCAAACCGCCGCGTTGGACCTTTTGAAGTACTACAAGATAGTCCTTCATCGCTCGCGCCAGGAACTCCTCGCGCCCAAAAGGGGCGCCCCGACATCTGGGTGGCTTCATGGAGGGCAAAAGCCTGCCGGTGCCGTGTGAAGACTGAGACGAGACTGAGAGGGACCCACGGAGCCATGGCAGAGGACCCCGAGGTTCGATGGGATGTTGGACCCCAATCTGTCTCGGACATCATGGGAGGTCTAATTTGGGAAAAGGATTGAAATCTATATACCTAAGACACCCGGGGATGTAAAGGAAGATGATGTATGAAGTTCAGAGGATGCAGGTATAGGTGAGGAGGAGAATTTTCTGAGATGAGTCGTGCATAGTTGTGCTATGAATGCAATGATTGGAATACTGGCTTCGCAAAGGGCAGGTGGTGAAACACCGACCAGTGGCACTAGTGAGTAGTGGCTCTCCTCAGTTTGAGCTCAACAACCGGGGATGTGGGGCCCATGCCAGGTCCTGGGGACCTAAACCACTGGCTTCTGGGACCTCTGCATGCCGCGTTTCTGCCGAGTTCCGGCACCTCTGCAGGGTGGCCTCCAGCTTGGCTTGTGCGGGCCTGGGCACTTGAGGCACGAGGAGGTTCGCTCGAACCCCCCTCTGCCACTGTTGCCCGGCTCAGACCATCTGTGGCTTTCACTTGGGAAAACCCTCTGCGAGAAGGTCGGTGCATCCTGAACACCTCCACAACACCACCCAGGAGGCCACTTCATCAGATCCAAGGAGGCCGCTTCATCAGATCCGTGTGGAAGCCACCAGAAGTCTTCAGCCTAAGGTGCTGGGAGGTCGAAGCGAGAACACAGACCTCAAAGGATAGCCAGAACCACTCTGGCCAACTCGGCAACTCTATCCTTTGATGAGAAGAAGGATTGTCCCCAGGAGTTCCACGGAGCTTCGGTGCTATCCATGGAGCTTCGGTGTGCCCAGAACATCCCACTCACGTAGGTTCTGTGAAAACACCACTCCTTTGTGACTCCTGGAAGCTTCTCAACACTCTTGATTGATAGGACATACAAAGAGTTCTTCTGCTGTTGTTCTATCCATGTCTGGGATTGTCTGGCGGGTATATATTCATCCAGATTTCAACTTCTGGCCATTTCCTTTTTGGTGTACAGCCCTTGTGGCACCCCCCAGAAGCCTGGCAGGTGCGGCAGGTGCGGCAGGTGCTCGTGAGCGTGCTCCGAACATCCATGTATACGCCCTGGTTCAGAGACCCACATGGAACCTCAAAACCACTGGCAAAGGTGGGAAGCCTTCGTCTTCCTTGGTCCAATGAGTCCAATGCCATCAGGTTCCAATGCCATCTTTCTCGGGTTCCCCGGGTGGATCGACACCAGTGGAGATCGGGTGAGCGAACAACTGGTTTTTCTGGGCATCCGGACAACTTCGCCTGCATCGCCCCAGCTTTCTCGGCTGCCTCCTGGCAACACATCCCATTTGGGACCAAGCAGATGCAAGGAACACATGCGTTAAGCATGACGTTTGGGCCACTCCCGGTCAGTCCGGCCTTCGTGCGCACTGCCAGTTGCGACATTGGAGGAGGTTCGTGTTCGAGGAAAACCACTCGCTCAGCCGGAGTACTGATGGCCCAAAGCCGGAAAGAACTGGCCTTCGTGCCACCTGCGTGCCCCAGGCCTTCGCTGTGGGGCCAGAAAACCCATCCTAAACCACTCACTAAACCCTCGTGACGAGGTGTTTTCGGCCCGAAGCGTCCGTGCGAGTCCGAGACGGCCCAGTCCGAGACGGTTTCGCATCACGACTTGGATGGGCGGCCTTCAACTTCTTGATCGCCGGCTC